ATGATAATATTCTTTTGGTTTTTAGTATACATCAAGGTATTTCAAAAGTTTGTTAGAGTATCAAATTATGCACAAAATATTTAATTCTAACCAGTAATTTTATGGAGCCATCAGATGGCTCCCTTATGGAGTCATCCATAATTTTATGTATTGACACGTGTCCAATATATATTTATTGCAGGATATGTGTCATGTACCATTTGTGGATAACTATGGATGACTTTATAAGCCGAACCATCCGATAGTTCCATAGCAAAACCGTAATTCTAACATAGTTTCGCATTTCGAATCTATAGTATGATAAACTTGATGATTTTATGTGATACGATTAAGCCTTTTGTAGTTATCTATAACTCCTTGATATCTATGTAGAATTTGGCATTGTTTTGGCTTCTCTTCATCTACATTTCACTTGCCTTCTACCTACAATTTCATCTTGTTTTGATTTTTTGCATCCGTCTAGGTGATGATGTATGTTGCCTCTCTATGAATTTTGCTATAAAGCCAACAGTTGGTTCCATAGTGGAGTCAACCTTCTATATACAACAAATAAACCATACTATATTCATAAAGTTATTAGTATTTATTTAAGTAATTAGCGAATATAATATGATTTACTTCTTGTATATAAAAGGTAGGTTCTATGAAGCCAACTGTTGACTTCATTGAAAAATAGCCTCTCCATATAGTAACAAACTATAGACAGAAAAGCTGCATTTACAAGGTGGTGTATGTTGCCTCTCCATATAAACTGTCATTTCCAAGAATATGGAAAATAATTTTTGTGCTAGATAACTGTCATTTGCAAAAATAATGAAATGTTTGGTGAAAAAATTGATTACGTGAAAACATTGAGTACAAAAAATAAAAATCTAACAAAATGGAATAGGAGGCATGAAGGCAGAGATCCCCGCAGTTGTCCCTAATCTGCCCCTCTCCTCCTTCTTTATTCTCGGCCTTTAATCGTTCGGTCTACCCACCCGGGCATCCCTCTCTTGTGACTTCTTTTTTGATGTTTTTAACTTTTTCAAAGTAGGTAAGTGATTTTTCGAGATCAGCTCACTTGCCCACCGACCCCTCTCTCTTTGCTTGGTCCGTTGACCATCACGCAGAAGGTCTAGCTAAAAGGAAAGGTCAGGCACCTGATTTCCCGAAGACGAAGAAGCTGAGAAATTCTGTCGGGTGACAAGAATGGAATTTTCCGACTTTTTCGATCTTACTTTCTGTATGGATCGGATCGGGTTCAAATGCACTTCTTCTTATGTCCCCTTCTGAAGAACTCTAGCAAGAGCTACTTCCCTTAAAGCGGTGCTGTACACCGAATACATACCCAATCTCGGGTTTCATTAATAGACAACTTTTTAACCGAAAAACAGACTCCTGAACGGCTACCGCCCATCTCACAAGGGAATTGGGCACACGTATGTCTATATGTATGGTAGATTTTGGATCAACCCTAAGAGCGTCATCAGTGAGATTTGTGATAATAAGAGAAAGGAGGTCTTGGAAGAAAAGACCGAGTTTATCAGTGCAGACCCCTTGAATGATTCTGACTTTCTTGTTACTTACCGTGGGAATACCCAATTGGAATTTGTTGAAGACTCGGAATGGGGAGTCAAACTCCTGCGACATCTTTTGGCCCGAAACTCAGAGTAGTCTCAGGACGTTCTTCATGGACTTCTGCAACCTCTTTGTATTTTCATTCCCAATCCTGCCACCAGCTTATGCCCTTTGGTATCAAACTCGGTACTTCCTATAAGGGAAGGGCCGGTGGCTGTGCATGTTCAGCTTTTTCTATTCAATCTGCTCCCGCACCATGAAATGTGGTTTTTTGCTTCAATATTAGATCTTGCTCCTCTTCGCAATAAGCGTCGGATACCGCCGATCCTCCACCAAACCATAAGTGCTTTCGAACAAAATCGAAAGACATGATCAGAATCTTCCACCAAAAATCACTTACCTACTTTGAAAAAGTAAAAAAGAAGCTTCGACCTGTCCCAAGAGAGGGATGCCCGGGTGGGTAAATTAGCCTCAAGGCAGTCTCGCATAGCATCATCGTGCTTTCCTCTGGACCTTTCCCTCGCCCTTTCTTGTCCTCTGATAAAGCAGCTCACTCTTTACTACTTTTGACTTCACTGCGCTTCGCTTCTAAAGTACACTTCGCTTCGCTTCGTTTGTATGGTCGAGACTCACTTCGTTCTCCTCACAACAAAGGTTAGGTGTACGGGGAATTGTTTGGTTAGAAAGAGAAATATCTGCGGGAATACAACAATAGACCCGAATACTTAGGGCCTTTGGGAATTGTAGGAGGAATTGTTCCCTATTCATTGTTTCCTCTACATTTACTGGTTTTCTTTGCTGTCTTTCTCTCTATGAAGTAAAGGGTTAAAAAAAATCACTTACTTACTTTGAAAAAGTAAAAAAGAAGCTTCGACCTGTCCCAAGAGAGGGATGCCCGGGTGGGTAGACCGAACGATTAAAGGATAGTTAGATGGCTTTAGTAAAATGCCGAATCAGACTTTTTTTTATCGGGGGGAATTGTCTTAGACTTCCAGTAAAAAATACCTTCTTTTTTCTCCATAAAACAGCCTCTTCCAAAACCCCAATATGGGGGGAGGCATGAAGGCAGAGATCCCCGCAGTTGTCCCTAATCTGCCCCTCTCCTCCTTCTTTATTCTCGGCCTTTAATCGTTCGGTCTACCCACCCGGGCATCCCTCTCTTGTGACTTCTTTTTTGATGTTTTTTACTTTTTCAAAGTAGGTAAGTGATTTTTTTGTTCTTTATCGTGGAGTAGCCGTCAAGTGCTTCAAAGCGCAGATACAGATCAAATGAAAGATGTGTTACAAAAGCGCAAAAGCGAAGCTGTCAGGGAAAGAGAATCTTTTCATTTTTGAATTGATAAGCGCAATAGCCATAGCCGTAGGGTCAATCCCCAGACCAGGCAATAACCATAAATGGCGATGAGAGAAAAGCTATTTCTTTCTGCTAGCCTACTTCCCTCCTGTTCACGACAACGACTCCGCTCTTTGTTGAGTGGGTAATTTCCTTTGTCTTGGAGTGGAGAGAGTCCGAGAGTCTCAGATGAGTCCTCATTTTAGTCAGACAACTATTTCTTTTGTTGATCATCCAGAGAGGGATCCCGCGAAGATCAAAGCCATCATATGGATACGCCTCCTCCGAGGACAGGAAGTGAATCAGTCAAAGTGAAAGATACAAGTAGCGATGGGATCTTTCTCCAATTTAACCCCGAATGCCTTCTCTGGCCCTCGCTATGGCGAGCATGAATAGGCGTTTGCGGAGAAGGAGTGATCAGACAAATCTGCCTTTTTTCTTCGAAAGTGGGCGAAAAACGAGGTGATTTGCTTGTCCGTGGGGAATGATCATCGATTTAATCGTTATTTGAATGAAGATGCCGAGCAGGCGACTTCCAAGACCAAATATAGATCCCGGGATCGGCGCGAGGGAAGATCGGTCTAAAGCCCTTCGCCCCCGCCTACTCTCTCGCTCAGACCATGGGCAGCTGTATCGTACTTCCTTCCAATGGACCTATTGAACCAGCACAACAGCTGGTTCTTCACGGGATCTAAATCTGATATTAACCAAGACAACTGGAAGATTCCAAACCATGCCAAACCATCATTCACAAGGGCCTCATAAGAAAGAGCGATTGGTGCCTGAGAAATGAATTAATACTTCATGTTCGAGCTCCATCATGGACTAGGGACTTTAGGCCTTGGCTTTTAGCAACCACAGCTTCCGGGTCCTCGCTACCGAAAAAACAATTGTTTTACACAACGCTACCAGGCTTGGCTTACGTTCCCCATCTGGGGAATGGGTTACGATAGGGGGTCTGCGTCCCAAGTTGGGAACTGACCGATCCCCTTATACGAGCTTAACTCACCTGAAAGTGGAACGAAGAGCTTCGGTTAAGAAGCTCGAGTGGAGTTATGAGTTTAAGCTTTGTTACTTGTTAGCGGCTGAAAGCCAAGATGCAGCTAAGGTACTGACCGGCCCGCTTGAGCAACTTTTGAAATGAATCACACCGCGCAAAGGGGGAGGGGGGAAAGTCCAGAAAGGGGGGAACCTTCCCCCTCTTTTTGTGCCGCGAGGCCCTATTAATACCCGCAGAGCCGCCCAACGGTAGTTTGATTTCGTTGTTCCAGCAGCTGATGAGTTATGATCACGATCACTTCTCACTGATATTGTACGCGTAAGCTACCCTCCTCCATTAAAATGCACATGCAACAAATTAAAAATAAAAAAGAAGCTCATTAAAAACTCAAAGCAGTAACCCTTGAAACTGGGCTTTAAAAAGAGGACCAGAGCTAGCTGTTCAGCCGCATCTGACGGAGATGTGCCGCTGACTGGGTTCAGGACACAACCCCCCAACTACGAAAGCTAACATTGTCCTAAGAAGGCGCAGAAGACTGATCAGCAAATGGCTTGAAAGGGACAGATAGAGGGTTCAAAACCTCTTCCTGTGCCCCTGAACCCAGCCCGTGGCACTAGTGATAGCCCTGATCGCCGCATTCACTAATAAGGAAGTCAATCACAATGGAAAGAAGTGGTAGATGTGCAAGCTTCCTCTTCCGCAGAAGAAGGACTTACAAAATCAGCCGATAACTGAAATTGGGCCTATGCGGATAACGGCTCAGCGGATTTGGCCTTGGGTGCATTCCGTGAGGAAGGGATTAACTAGCTGCTACTGATCCTGGCCTAGCAACCAGAATGAAATAAGATAGATACTTAATTCGACGAGATAGAGGTGGCCTAATCCTGCTAATGCACCGATCCAGAACCAAGATCAATAGCAGGTAGAGATCCGTCAGAGTCAGACAAGCAGGAATAGAGCTAGTTGCTGAAAGGCAGAGCGAGGCGATGAACACGTACCGAGGACTTTTCAGAAGGACGGCTGGCTTTAGCCCTTGAGTAGGAGGACATCTCCTAGAGGAGCCTAAACTACCACGAACGCGCCCACGATAATAATAGTACTCCCAAAATGAGAATACATGCTCCCAGCAGGAGAATAGACCCAAAGAAAATACATAAAATCACATAGCACACACAAACCTAACACACAAACAAGAAAAAAACAAAACACAATCTAATACATAGAATACGACCTTCCCCACCAGCCTGAAGCTCGACCCAGGGCACGAATCTAGAAACTCCCTACAGACGAGGGCTAACTACGTCCGGTCCAAAAGACCAACACACTCCATACGGCCCAAACATACCAACCCCAAGAGGCCCACGCCTAACACCCTCTCCCACACAATCCAGCAACCGCAGTCGAGGCCGGACAAAGCTCCGGACTGCCCTGGCGGAGAACCTCAACCCTTCAACCCCAGGAAAAGAAGAGGAGAAGGGAGACGGGAGCGCGAACCTCAGAAATGATCACCACGAGAGCGACAATTAACCCCGGTGACCCCGGAATCGCCGTCGTGAAGCCGCAACGATACAACAAGTCCGGCCATGGCCGCCCGAAACCGGTAGAAATCCACCCAGACTAGCAAATCGGCGAGCACCCAGCGAGCCACGGTCCCCCCTGGCGCTAGACGGAGCCGCGCGGGTGCGAGCCTCTGTCGGAGGGGAGGCGCTGGACGGAAAATGAAAGAAGAAGCGACTGGTTTTAGGGATTTTGACTGAATCGCTTTTAGAGAGAGAACATGCAAAAATTATTGAATTCGTGACCAATTGTTGTAGTCGCTCGTGTTGCCTGCCGCATGATTTCAAAATTTTGCACTCTAAAATTTAATCGAATGTTATCAAACATCTAACCATTAAATTTTTGTGAAAAATATGTGTTAAGAAATTGTTTTACTTGAAAAATTCACATTATCTCCTGATCTCTATAGGATCTTTTAAGGATGTTACTAAACATCGCCACCCTTAGACATTTTGTCGCTGACATTTTCCCAAAAAAACTTAAAAAACCATATATTCTCTGAAATTAGGCGATTTTCGGCGAAAATATGTCCAACGGCGAGGTACGATTGTTGCCGGCCCCCGGCAATTGCTCCCCGCTCGCGGTGGCGGCCAGCAGGCCAAGCCGACCATGATGTAACACCCCGCCTTTCTTAGCTTTGAATACTAAAAATCAGAGTAATTTTTTTTTTCATTTTATTTTCGAAAGAATGCGAGCTTGGTTTTCGAAAATACTTTCTTACTTGCGGGATGCTACGAAAACTTTCTTATCTTACTCATGCAGACATAATAAACATGCAACCAAATCAATCCACTATGGAAATAATGGAATCACACATGCAGTCTGACTGTCTCGCACCGTCTAGTTTAGCGGAAGCTTTAAACTGAAAACATACATAACACACGGATACATATAAATACATGCTCATGAATTTAGGACATAAAATGTGTGTAAAAATGTCCCCTGCTCATGACCACCCTTGCCACGTCTGCTCACCCGGTACGCTGGACTCCGTCACCTGAAATAGGAAAAACTGTGGGAGTGTGAGCACGTCTACATGCTCGTGGGAAAACTAGAACTGTAATAATCTCAACTGTAAACATAAACTTAAAAGGAGCATATAAATAATAAGTTGTGTTGTACTGTAAACTTCTCTTAAACTTTAACTGTGGTCAAAAGACCCTTGTCGGCCTTGGCCGCTCATGTGCACATCACCCGATAAAACTGATAAGGCCCTCGGCCCTTTATCAGGTACCAGGTGGAATAGGAAGGCCCTTGCTTCGGCCTCTCACCTGGGAGATATAACCGCCTCGAACATACCTCAGACATGGTACAGATATTAATGATGATGTGGAACCCAGTACATGACCCCCATATTGACCAGTACTGAATTAGACAGCATCCATAATAACATATCATGACTTAAATATATAAGAGCTGAAACTGAAGTCTTTGGTTTCAAAGACCCTTGTCGGCCTTGGCCGCTCATATACACATCACCCGATAAAACTGAAGGCCCTTACCTCGGCCATTATCGGGTACCAGGTGGAATAGAAAGACCCTTGCTTCGGCCTCTCACCTGGAAGATATAACTGAACCACAAACGGGATAATTCGACCGTTCAGGTAAATAATTTACTCACATACCTCATACAGGATAATTGAAATGCGCAATGTAACACCTTATACTGGTTCCCACCTGGTATACTGAAAACATCTGTGCAAGTGCTGGAATACTGGGGTAGCTGTCGGAGGCTTGACTCTCCTTAAGCTACCAAAATATACAAGCAAATACATATTTAAGTAATTTGTTCGTCTTATAAAAACTTATACTGAAACTTAGACAATTAAGTAGGCAAAGCAGATATATCATGAAAATCACATAAGGCACATAGATGCATATGACCACTTAAAACTGGAATGGATTTTCTCGGCTCAACCGGACTGTCTTAGGGTTTCCCGAAAAATTCTCACTCAAGCTCGAAAACCCATTTTTTCTGTACTTCTTGGACTGTCTCAAACTGGCCAAACTCACCGGACTCCGGCGACTATTTCCGACCAACTTTCATGCTAAATGAATTCTTATGAATGGGTGGTCACTTAAGTCCATGTATTTTCACTTAATTCACTTAATAGAGTAAAATGATCTACTTAACTCTCTCGATTTTTATAAAATCGAATATAATTCTAAAAATTCTCAAACTTGGCATTAAAATAGTTTACTTAACCAAGTACATGCTGTATAAATGCACTTCATTTGGGCATCAATAGCATGGTCAACTAGCCATTCAAATTTAGCATATGAATAGGCACTTTACACGCATGGATTCAAAGAATTTTATAAAATCGAACTCTTATCATTGAAGCTCAAAATTGGTGAAATTACTCATAACTCATGAAAGAAATGCTCATAAAAGTTTCACATCAAATGCGCATGTTGTTAAGGAGTTCTCTGACCACAAATTTCATCTTGATATGCATGCGGTCTAATACATATAACTCACTCATTTCTTATGATAAAATCATGAAATTTGGTATGCATGCTCTTAAATCATATATAAACATGTCCTAAAGTTGCATAATTTTATGCTGCGTATAACTCGAGTTATTCGTGTTTGAAGTCGCAACTGAATTCGCGCATATAAAATTCACTTTGCATGTCTAACTTAAAAAATCAATAACTTGAGTTATACTAGACCAATTGACTTGATTCTTGATCCTATGAACTCCTCTTTTCCACAAAAAATATCCATATAAGTCGCACATTACCAGGTTTTGCATAGAATAGGTAAAAACGAATGAAAACTCGACATAAAGCACATGCAAGCAAACTGGGAGCACTTCAATATTTAGTATGCTTGGAACCACTTAAAAACTAAACATATATGGCATATATATAGGGAGTGGTTCAAATAAAAACCATTTCTGGTGTGAGAACCGTGAGAACCATATTTGATGCTATTTTTAATTGTGTATGATGCTATTTTTAATCTTACATGGTGCTATCATTTTTACAAATGCTAACATAAATTCTGTTGCTATTTTTAATAAAATACATCCTGATTAAAAATAGCACTAAATACAATCAATCATAGCACTAGATACAATTAAAAATAGCGGTTCTCACGCTAGGATTTGGTTCTCATTTGAACCACATCCTATATAGATATATATTAATCAACTCCTTATCTCATCTAAATTATTATTCTAAAAAGATTTGAGCACACCAACCTCATTATCTTCAAGAAAATCGCAAAAGAAGTCGGGTATGCTCGGTTGAAGTGCTCTCGACTTTGCTTCCTTGTAGCTCTCGAATTTTGCTAGCTTGCTTAGAACTTCTTGAGCTTTAAAGCTTCTAGGGTGAGAGAGGAGTGAGGGAATGAAGCTAATATGCTGTTGGTATGTGGTGGACTTGGCTAAAACTCGAACACAACTCAAATGATGCACTCGGGTAAATAGGACTTCCTTCTCGGCATTGCTATAACACTCTCGGGTTTATGGCTGTTGAAGGGGCTTTCAACTTGAATTTTGTCTAAGTGTTTGAGGCATCAAATGAGGTCTTAATGAGCTGAAGAGAGGGCTTATAAATGGGGTCAAAGGGTGGATGAAACAATGCTCAAGGTGGGAAACAAAAGCTTGCGCACCTCTTCCTTATGCGCATGGTTTGAACATGATGGAGTTGTGGCTGATTTGGAGGTAAGTTAGTGGGCTGAGACCTTCTGATTTTCGCACAAAAAGGCTGGCCATTCTGGTCAAGGCACTATGGAGAGTGAATAGGGAACAAACCTTACACAAAGCATTAAACAATTGAAATCCCATGCTGGATTAGGAATAGAATAAGGCTAATGAAGGTTTGACTTCTCTAATCAAACTTAGGCTGAGCTTAGGCTTAATATACTTCTAATCTCTACTAATCCACACGCAAGGCTCAAGACATAGCAAGGAAATGGATTAAAATGAGCCTTGGCTCGGAGACCCTTGGCGCGAGCGGCTCGGGTAAATGCTAGGGCTCGGGAATTTGGGTCTAGGGCTTGACTTGGCACATTATAACACTTAGGAAAATTTTAAGTGTTATGCTACTAAGGCTCGGCTGCACTCGGAGCGAGACTAGGGCTCGAGGCCAATTAATTTCTAGGGCCGAATAGTGATTACTTATAAATCCAAATTAATGGATTGATCTTGGCCTTAACATGAAGAAGAAAATTCCAAGGAATAATCTACATACTTACTATATAAATGAGCACTTAGCATATAAATTCCCCGAAATAACATATCTGGGGAAAATCTAAAATACCGATTTAACTTTATACTCGAGCAAGTGAAACCTATTCTAATATTATAACTGATCGGGGCGTTACAATGACCATGCTCGGCAGGCCTCGCCGGCCGACCAGGACCATGCGCGACCGCAATCACCAGCCGATCGTCGGCGGTCCGACTGGTATCAGTGGTCGGTCGGTTTTTTTTTTATTAGTTAATTTTTATTTATTAAAGAAAATATGTTAGTAGAAATTTTTATGTTATAAATTAGAATTTATTATTATTATGTTAGAATTTAGAATTTTTTTTGTTATAATTAGAATTGATTATCTTTTAAAATTATTAACATTGTAATATTTTGCAGGTGCCATTCAAAGATTTTGGAGGGGACGGTACCGATTACAGTTCTGTTTTCATTATGGAGGAAGTATTTGGTAGTGATGCAGAAGCTATTACATGAGAAAAAGAAATAACAATTCAATTTTGTTTTGAATTGGTCATTTCTTCACACAAAAAGATGGAAGGATGGAGGTGTTAAGGTGTGCACAAGGTGAACGTTATAAAGGCAGTTTAGGAGATTTAGATCGAGCTGCTACCAGACGTTCAAAGACTAAACCGTGCAATTGCCATTTCGGTTACCAGTCCAATAGGTGGCACGATATACATCTTGGAGGATCCATGTAAGTACTGCTGGTGATAGGGGAATCCATAATCATGCATTGGTTGTATATCCTGAGGGTTATCGACAGATGAGCGGACTTAGCACTTCATCTAAAGATTCTCCGTGATATGACTGCTGCTTAGGCAAAACCGGCAGTAATTTTTGGCTGCAATCCAGGAAAAAAGCCCAAAAGACAACGCTACTTGGAGACGTGTATAATTATAGAGATCGATTGCAGAGAGATAGTTTCGAGGGTAGAGATGTGGTTACCCAGATTCTGCATTTGGCTTTGGAAAGTAATTATATAGTTTATACAGATTTTGATGAGGAGACACAGGCGTTGACACATTTGTTCATGTCGCATCCTCAAGCAGTCAACATATTATGAACATATTACTGGTACATTAGTATATATTCGACGTACAAAACCAGCAAGTGTGTTACTTTATAATTAACAAATTAGTATGAATCTTAATTAGTATGTTCGAGTAAGTTTTTTTATTCTATGTTTCCTCTTGTTGCTCTCATTTGCATAGGTACCGGATGCCGTTGGTGGAAATTGTTGGGACCACGTTGTGCGACAAGAATTTCTTAATTGCATATGCAATTATCAAGGACGAGAGCGAGTATAGCTATCACTGGGTTGTACAGAATTTGATAGGGTTTGATGTACATCCTACAACCATTGTAACTGACACGGAGTTGGATATAATGACTCATATTCGGAGGATTTTTCTAGAATCTGCTCACTTACTTTGCATGTGGCACATCAACAATGATGTGGAAGACAAAGTCTACCGACTCCTTTGAAAAAATAGGGAAATCGCTCAAAAGTTCGCGCACGGCAGGTGGAAAAAGGTTGTCGAAGCAGAAACGGAGGATCAATACCACAATATCGTAGTTGAAATGCATGGTCGGTGGAAGAGGTTTCAAAAAGTGTTACAATATGCGGAGTACACATGGTTAGTCCAGAAGGAAAAGTTTGTCAAAGTATGGACGAAGATGGTAACACATTTCGGTAACACAACATCGTGTAGGGTAGAGTCCACATTGTGTTAAAGCAGTGGCTTAAAACATTGATCGATTCACTCGATACAGTGTGGGAGAAGGTTGATAAGGAGATTAAGTCTCAACCGCCTCAAGTCAGGTACATTTCTTAAGCTACATATATTTACTTTTTTTTTTATTATTGCATGAATTATGAATTTTATTGGGTCTAATGGTATGTAATATAATATCATGTACAAGCTGAAGTATTCAAGATGTAAGATGGTTGTGATGTATAGGGGATTCCCATTCACGTATTTGACACTGCGAGTCTCGTATCAATGTTTGAATTTATTGAATAAGGAGCTTTAACGGATGGGACCATTGAGCGATGAGGTTGACTCACTCTGCGGTTGTGCACTGAGATCCACTCATGGACTTCCTTGTGCATACACACACACACACACACACATATACATATAATATAATGTCAAATATGATATATTAAAATATATTTATAATTAAGGTTCATGTTTCATTGAGCGTTTTCTAGTTTCTGTTTCATTTTTCAGTACACTTCATGTTCAGAATAGATTATGTTATTTATTTATTTATTTTTTTAATTTTTGATCATATACTTGTAGGGACAGGTGACCAGAGTGGATCGACAGATTATCAGATTTCAAAACCTTGTCGACGAGGTTTACGCGGGCGATATTGCAATGATGTCGCACGTGAATCACCTCATCTATGCTTAACTTCACCTTAACCAACAAGCTTTTATAGAACATGCAGTGAAAAAAAATACAAGAGGTCTGAAAAAAAAAAAAACAATTCAACCAAGCGTCGACCATCGAGATGGGAAAGAGACAGAGCCGCGGGGACGTACAAGTAGTTCTTCGTGTGCCCCGACAAGCTTGTCTTTTCTCCCTTCACAAGAGGCAATAGGTGAAATATTTTTTGTTTTATCTGAATATTAACTAAATTATTTAGATAAATTCTATTATTTAAATTGTGACGTAAAATTATTTTGATATTACAGAGACTAGGCCGACAGATATCTTTGCATTTGCATATGTATCTCAAAGCTACATGGATGTTGTCGCGGATGGCAACTGCGGATTTTGCGTGCTCGCAGTGTATGGCAACTGCGGATTTCGCGTGCTTTTAGTAATGCCCGAAACGAGTTTTATTCTGAAAAATATTTAAAATTTTCAAATTATTTCTGAAAACTTAGTGTTTTTTAATGGAAAAAATAAGTGGATGTTATACATTTGGCATTCTTTAATTAGCCAACATGATATAATAAATAATCAATTAATTAACAGCAGCACAATAGCAAGAGGTCTAACTGATCCCATTAATAAGATAGGCAATAGACAAAAATGTCAATCGCTTCTAAATTTATATCAACTCTTGCGATAGCAAGCAAATGCTCAGGCTATCCTCACTAGAAAGGGCCATAAGATTCATCAACCAAATTAAGTAAGTAACCTCAATATATGTATAAACGACACAAAGTAAGCAAAAAAAAGTGCTCAATAGATTAGGCAACATCATGCATGTCCTTGGGCCAGGCATCAAGTGGTTTCCCGATTGAGTAAACAATAAAACCAATCTCCCTCAGCTTTAGCATCCACCATGTTCCTCCCGTCAAACACAAACGCCGGCTTTTGCATGTTGTCATATATCCTCTGGAAATCGAGCTCCTTGAACTCGTCCCACTCGGTCAATATGCTGAGCTAAGCATTATATATTTTTATTTTTCCCAATTTCAGCTTTTCCATGAATTTGACAAAGTTACAATCAAATAAGAATCAGATTACCCCAACTCAAAATAGGTGAAACCAATCGCGTTGGAGTTGTCAAGTATTAGATATTAAATTCGCAATCAAATCAACAACTTCCACAAGGGCGATCACAACATAGATAGATAATGGATTCTAGACAGCTGAGTGGATTGTTTGGGAAAATTAGAATATCTCTGGAGCAGAACTATCACAATAATGCAGTACTTGCACGAGAATTGACTGTTAGAGTAGAATACCCGTCGTTCCAATCTGATTGGATATTTTTCTACTTGTAAAGACAATTTATTGGAATTTATATTATTTTGAGGCATTTCTTTATCTTATGTCTTTGCATTTATCTTATATTTGCACATATGATAAAGTTCTTAGATCATTATTAGCTACGAGACATGGTTGCGCATTTGATGGCAATCATGGAACATGTCTTTAAAGCTGTGATCTTAAATAAGTTCCGAGTTGATGGGTACTTCGAGACAGGACATTGAATACCCGGTAAGACTTGTGCATATGATGCATGTTCGTCGGACGAGGATGTTGCATTTCATCAGCAATAACATGTGGACGCAAATTCATATATGCGGGTGCTTGTTGGGGAACAAGTTCACTGAACATGGCCCGATGAAAATTTTTAGCTGGAAGTTTTAACTGTCAAATAAAAATTTTCTGTTGCAATAGTACATGACTGATCCTCTGACTTGAGGCACAATAGTAATCATGTGCATGTTATACTTTACTTTGATTTATCCTTTGGTTGCTAGACAATCATTAAAGGGATATTTTAGGTAATGTATTAATGTGTATGGAGGTTTGTCTGTGGCCAACATAGAATTCGACACTTATGTGGATAAGTGAATTTCCTATGCTTTTCATAGTTTGTGATTCAAAGACCTTGGCCAAGGCGGGGTGAATATGGATTCATAAAGAAATTACTAAACTTGAAATGGAATCATAGTTATTAAATCAATTGGGTTTCGACTTATAAATCCATGCCCAAGATTTAATCCGAAAATTAGTTGTCTAAAGGATTTTACATGTATGCACTTGAAATTGAAAAGGTTTACTCGCTATTTCACTTAACACTAGATAATCATGCTACTTGTACATGTTACGATGAATTGTGGGTTCTTGAAATTAATGAGTTAGTTTTAAGAATATAAATTAATTAGATTAATTTAAATTACAAACAAGTTGTAAACCTACTACTAGTGTTAATCGAGAACCTAAAAGGGTCACACCATATTTTGGATGATGACATTTTAAAATTGGTATTTCCAATAGTTGGATTAATTGACAAGACTTAATTAAATAATTTGATTATTTAATTAAATCTAATTTTTATTAGATGTCAATTAAAGAAATAATATAAATTAATCAATTGGATTGATTAATTGGGCTTTGGAGAGTAATTAAATAATTATTAGAATTATTAAATTAATAATTCAATTTTAAAGTTTGACTTTCAAATTCAAATCCAAACATTAATATGATTAATTAATTAAAAGCCTACAATAGAGAGGAGATGTTTTTATTCTACGGGCGATAAAGGAAGTTAAGGATTTGACTAGGTATTGGAAAGTTAGTTTCCTAATCTCATGGTCATTATCTTTAAATTTTATTTAAGAAAATAAAATAAAATAAAAGTTAGTGGGGCAAGAGCCGCCACTAAACACACCACCAAACTTGTTTAACAACTACTAAAACTCATGGAGTTTTAAAGAGTGTGAAGACTCCCATTTTTATATGCTGTGTTTTTCTTTTGGTGGGATACAGAGTGATCTCGACTTTTACACAGAAAAATAAAAAAACAAAAAAAGTTTTTTTTATCTCCTCTCTTATTTGATTCCAAACATCAATTCAAGTACCGGATAAATTCTACTAGCCAAGAAGATTATCTCGGTGTTGGAATCCAAAGGTGGACTTGCTTAGAGGGGAGACACGTGAATTCCTACGGCGAGACGAACGAGACGGTGATAGCCACATATCCGGGAATTGATTCCCTCATCATCGTCGCTATTTGAAGAAAATTAAAAGTTAACTTTCGAAATACTTTACAAATCAAAATTCGTACTTTTACGTGATTTTATAAGTTGTCGACCGTTATAATCGCTACGTGAGCCAATGGGGTTAGTATTTATTCGATAAATGCATATTTATTTTGTTTAATTTCCGATGCGTTTCACCCCGTGCGGTATAGCGAATCCAACATTGACTCCCAAGAACATAACTCAAAATGTAGGTTATCGACCAAAAGGCTTCGAAATCGGATCACACCTCAGGAAAAGCATGTAGATCTAACAAAGTAGATTAATTAATAAAAAAAGCACAGACATTACGCATCAAATGAGCTATCAAACAACAAAATGATAATCATCAAAATTCAGGTGAATCGCCGGCAACACCTTCCCAGATCGGAACACAACCAACAGAAAATGAAACCCGCAATTCAATTTGGTTCATTCACTAACAAACTAAAACCAAAAATCTTCACTTAAACTATAATATGAGCACGAAGAGTCATCTACCAACACAGTTTATAACAAAATAAAGATCTATCTTCTTTGGACATGAACGGGGTCTTGATCTAAGGTAAACCTTTATGGCGAGCGGTGTGGCAATGGCCCGGGCCTCAATGCACTAGGACTTTTCTATGGCTCCTTACGGAAAATATATTGCTCACTAACGTGGAAAGGAAAAGGCGACACTTAACGGCCAATGGGCTCTGTGAGATGTGCGGACAGACCGAGGAGACAATTCTACAGGCGGTGAGGGATTGTTCACTGGCCGTTGAGGTATGGAGAGGTCTGCTGCCACGACGAGCCCATTCGGAGTTTTTCGCCTTAAACCTAAAACAAGGGCTCTACTCGAACTTGCTGCACCCATCGAGTGCAGGGGCGTAGCCAGGATTAAAAGTTCACCTGAGCTATAATTATTATAATAAAATATGGCAATATTGCAAATAGACATGTTCAAGGTTTGTAAACGAACCGGCAAATAAGCGGTTCGAAACGTCGATCGATGGTTTGATTAACCCTTTATTGTAGTTCTTATTATGATTAGGCAGTTCGGTTACGGATTGCAAAATGTCAGAACCGTAACAAAAGGTTTGGTAATAAAATAGAAAAAAAAAAGTTGAAAATTTTGGGAGGGGAACCAAAAAAATTAAAAAAAATCAAAGGTTATTGATTTTCTAAAATTTAGAAAAATAAATGGTGGAAAACCGTCTATTTTCAATAAAAATACAGCTTTTTCAAAAATTTGGCAGTTTCTAAAGAATTTTTCAAATTTTGACATTAGAATAATACTTGAAAACTGACAGTTCAAATCGAAAACCAACAGTTCAAATCGGACCGTAACAATAACTGTCGGTTCAACAACCAACTACGAAGCGCCAATAGCTAGTTATTATTATTGTTTCGAATTTTAACCAACTGTAATATGTTACAATTCGGTTGTTTCATAAACGAGAACGTGTCTAATTTTTAAAAATGTATATTTACGTTGTGAAATGCCTTGCATTTTGATCATTCTCATCAATTTGAATCCAACAAATGGTATTAGTATTTGAATGGGTGCAAGAGAAAAATTAAATGTTAAAAACAAAATCAGAAAAAAAAAAATCATAATCTACTGATAAAAAGAATATAATTTTACTTATAAATCATAACTAAAATCTTAAAGACCCTATATCACTCTTAATTATTCTTTTTAAAGTAACATGTTAATATATAATAATAACCTGGATTTTTTTTTAAAACATCTTTTTATATCAATAATTATCAATAGTNAAAAGCCATTACAATGGGTATTCTTGGACTATTATTTTAGACTTTTCATTTCAAAAAGTATGTTCAGTAGAATGAATAGAATTGTGTACGGGATTCAAATATTTGGCAAGGCTAATTTCAAAATAAAATAAGAATTTATATACACCCTTTTATTTTTAATAAATGTCGTTTTGAGAAGTTGCACAATAATTAAGAATTTTTTTTTTGCCAATAATAACCCTCATTAATGAGGATAGAGATTGATGTTTTGAGAAAAGATGGAGAGTGATTATGAAAAGACGTAGTGTATTTATTAGTTAGATGAGGGTAATGATGGAAAAATATGTACAAAATAGCCAAAACGACATTTATTTAACAAATGATTAATTAAGCTAGGATGACAGATAATAAAAATAAGAGGGAGTATTTAGTGGTGGCTTAAAAATCAACCTGGGCTACAACCCTAACCACTTTATAAGTGGCTCCGCCCCTGATCGAGTGTATGTGTGGAGAACATATTTGGGGTGGCTGCATGAAATTTCTGCTTATGTTGCGGGCCTTGAGGGGATTATTGATAGTGATAGGAAACTTGGGGGGTCGGGCCGGGTGCGAATGGCGAAATGGATACGGTGGGAGAAACCTTCAGCGGGATGGGTTAAAGCCAACACTGATGCTTCTTTCAATGCGAAGACGGGGCTAAGGACTGCGGGTGGCCTCATAAGAGATGAGTATGGGCAATGGAAAGGGGGTTTTACAATTAAAACCGGGGCTTGCTCGATAATGGCTGCAGAATTATGGGGTTTATTTAAGAGTCTCACGTTGGCTGGTATTTAGGGTTTCGACAAGTCGAAGCGGAAGTAGACAATCAGAGTGTAGTGGGATTTACAAGATGCCTTGATGATACACCAGGAGTGAACATAGGCCTAGTGTTGGGCATAAAAAAACTACTCGGTCGACCTTGGAACGCTAAAGTAAAACATATATGCTGTGAAGTGAATTTTGCAGCTGACCATTTGGCTTCCTTCGCTGCGGATGGATCGATGGGGTATCACTTCTTACATGATCCACCAGATGGGGTTCGTCAGTGGCTCCACCATGAATTTCTTGGCGTAGCTTATACGCGGGCCGTGTGCAACTAATCTGTTAGGAATTTTTTACACTAATAAAAATTAACTGGACAAAAAAAAAAAATATAGACAAAAATAAAAAGGGCGTATTCTGTGAATACGTGTTAAAGTGTAAAATGTATTCTCGAAATACATTTTACTGTAAAATCTCATATTACAGAATAAAACGTATTCACATAATACGTTTTAAAAAATTAATAAATAAAACGTATTTTGGTTATACGTTTTACACATAATTAAGAACTAAATAAATAATTTAAAACTAAAACGTATTATCAAAATATGTTTTAGTTCTTAATTATTTGTAAAACGTATAACCAAAATACGTTTACAAATAATTAAAAACTAAAACGTATTATATAATTCGTTTTAAGTTTTAAAATTAATGAATAAAAAAATTAATATATAGTATGTGTTTTGTGTTTTGGGCTCGTTTGGGTTCGTCTAAACTCAGAATGGAGTTTCGTTTTTTCCTATACGTAGCTAAAGAGCCCCTCTATTTAATGATGCATTCATGACTAAATTATTCTTGAAATCATATTCTCCCAAAGCTCTTGACGTACACATTAAACGTGTTTCGCGCGACTTTACTTTTTGGGGACGTTTCGGACTCGTCCAAGCTCGAAATTGATTTCCGCTTCTTCCTATATGTCGCCAACGAACTCTCTACACAACCACAATTGCCCGATCAATTTTTGGGCTAAATCTATTCCTCACGGGCTAAATAATTAACAAATCACTCATTATATAAATAGATGGTCCACAGAGGATTTGTTAATAGGTGATTTGTAAATTATTTAGCCCCGTGAGGAATAGATTTAACCCAAAAATTGACTGGGCAAACATGGTTGTGCAGACGGGTTTGTTGGCGACATATAGGAAGAAACAGAACTCAGTTTTGAGCTTACACGAGTCTGAACGGGCGTTGTTGTCATTCGCGGTCACGACGTCTTCTACCTCCACCAATGTTGGCAGCGGGTTGATGCCTCGCCCTGTGTGACTGTGCACTCTGGGATGAGACGTAGTCCTTGTCGGATAGAACTTGACTGAACGACGCCCCATGTGTGACCTTTTGGCCTTCAACAGTCAGAGAACTATAGGCAATGTTGTAGGACTGTTGGCATGCGCCATGCGCCCCTGGAGGGAGTGTATGAAATATGTCTTGAATATTCGTTAACAAGTTATAAACCTCCTCTAGGGCTTGAGTCTGAAAATAAAATTCAAAGTAATTAGTATGAAACACCAAAAAAATAATAAAAGAACCACAAATTATGAACACGTACATCGCACTTCTCTGGCTCGGCAATTGTCTAATAGCCGCCGTCCTGTTGGACCACCGTGCACTTGGTAGGGTCACTGATGAGTCTCACAGTCCTAGTGTAAAACCAATCAATTTAACCCTCCTCAGCCTGTAGGAAGTGATCCACATGGGCATCTTGGAGGACATTTTGTTCTCTTTCATCGACTCATCCCTTGGTAAACTGTGAATGAAAGGCGGCCCAGTCACCAAATTCCCTCACAGTCATTCCCTGGCCTTTGTGGTGTGTCTCCCATAATCATCGGATTTTTGGGTATGGACTGCTGACACCCAAACTGACGGAGAACCTTATCAGTCAAGTGGATTTCACGTATGTTCCAATAGAAGATCCACCCCCTATACATCCAAATATGTTGATCTTCTGTGCGCTCATCCTGGATAGTACCATCCTTAGGTACTGTTCATAGGCCACCCAATCGAACTTAAAAAAAAAAAAAATTGAATTAGGAATTAAGTTATAAAAAAATTAAAAATGATGCTTGCATGGCCAAATTACTCTTGAAATCATATTCTCCTAAATTTATTGACCTACACATTAAACGTGCTTCGCGCGACTTTGCTTTTTTTTTCCCGTTCAGACTCGTCCAAGCTCGTAATTGAGTTTCGTTTCTTCCTATATGTCGCCAACAAACCCGTCTACACAACAATGAATGCCCGGTCAATTTTTGGGTTAAATCTATTTCTAACGGAGCTAAAATAATTAACAAATCACCCATTAACAAATCATTCATGGACCATCTATTTATATAATGGGTGATTTGTTAATTATTTAGCTCGTGAGGAATAGAAGTAGCCTGAAAATCGACCGAGAAATCATGGTTGTGTAGAAGATTTCATTGGCGACATATAGAAAGAAGCGGAAATCAATTTCGAGCTTGGACGAGTCGAACGGGCCAAAAAAGCAAAGTCGCGCGAAACACGTTTAATGTATAGGTCAAGAGCTTTGGGAGAATATGATTTCAAGAATAGTTTGGCCATGCAAGCATCATTGAATACAGGGGTTCATTAGCTACGTATAGGAGAAAACGGAACTCAATTCCGAGTTCAGACGAGCCCAAACGAACCCGAAACATAATACGTACTACATATTAATTTTTTGTTCATTAATTTTAAAATATAAGACGATTATCAAAACAATTTTTATTTATTAATTTTTTTAAAACTTATTATGGAAATACGTTTTATACTTTTTTTCAATTGTTAAAAAAATAACATTTTACAAATATAATTTTAAAACGTATTACCAAAATACGTTTTTTAAATAATTTTAATTGAAAAAACGTATATGAAAATACGTGATTTTTATTTTTGTCCACAACTTTTTTTTTTTGTTTTTTTTTTGTCCATTTTATTTTTTTTATTTTTTATATATATAAACTACCCTAT